TGATCATTCTTTTAAAAGGAAAACAAAAGGAAATTAGCATTTTTACAGGGAAAATTAAGGGAAACCATACTTTTTTAAAAGGAAAGTGAAAGGAAATTATTATTGTTTAAAAAGAAAATGAAAGGAAATGATAATCTTTAAAAGGAAAATGACTAACAGGAAAATGAAAGGAAATTACTATTTTTAAAAGAAACATGAAAGGGAAGGATCATTATTTAAAAGGAAAACACAAGGAAATTACTATTTCCCAATAGGTGCACTAAGATGGCACACCAGAGGAAGCTAAAGGAAAACGATTAGAAATGATCATTAAAATAACGGAAAACAAAAGGAAATGATCATGTTTAAAAGGAAAATGAAAGGAAATGATAATCTTTAAAAGGAAAATGAAAGGAAATGAGCATGTTTAAAGGAAAAATGAAAGGAAACCATACTTTTTTAAAAGGAAAATGAAAGGAAATTACTATCTCTAAAAGAAACATGAAAGGGAAGGATCATTACTTTAAACGGAAAACATAATGATCCTTCCCTTTCATTTTTCTTTAAACAATATTTAGTTCCTTTCATTTCCTGTTTAAAACAAATCATTTCCTTTCATTTTCCTTTTCAACATGATTATTTCCTTTCATGTTCCTTTTTAAAATGATCATTTCCTTTCATTGTCCTTTTACAAATTTTCATGTCCTTTCATTTTCCTTTTAAAAATGAGTATTTCCTTTCATTGTCCTTTTAAAAATGATCATTTCCTAACAATCTATGTACGCTAACATAAGAGCTACATGTTCATATCAGTGTGCCATGTTAGTGTATGAAAAACTATACCGGCCATGTGCCGTGTGCCATCTAAGGGTTCCAAATGCTTTCGACGCCTTTGCAGGGGGGGGTTCTCACTAACATGGCATATATTGGGAGTTTTGAGGATGCCATGTTATCGGGCCCCGGTATAGCTTGCAGGCCAAAGTTCTTGCTTCCTCCAAAATCCATTGTGGTGCAGCTGTCACCTTCTTGTGGGCCTTAGTTGTTCAACATGCCCAAAGGTCCAAACTCATCCATATAGGCTGGCAATAGAACATCATGGGTTGTGGGGTGACCTTCAGCGGAAAACCAACATGCTGTCAATTCTGGAGGAACATACAGAGTTCCTTGTAATCACGAAAATCTACAGTTTCATTGCTGCCAGTCTATCCACTATTTCTTGGGGATACAACTCCGTGCCGCGAGGAAACCAATCTCAGTGCAGTGACTTGTTTGACAAAATCGAGCAAATCGTGCCTCCAACAAAGTTGCAAACGATTGAAATCGTTGAAACATCAAGCCCCGAAGCCGGTTTCAGTCACAAGCCACCAGCAGGCCATACTTCTCCCCCAAGCGCTGCTGTCGCGCCAGGTTCCGCTGCACTCGCTCCAGTTCCATCTGGTTCGAGGCTGCTCGCAGCTCGTCCATGGCGTCGATCCTGAACGCAAGAGGTCTGGAGTCGTGCGGATTGGGAGTTCCAGCCGGGTATAAATCAGGAACTAAGATGAACTAAGTATATACATTCTAATGAATTTCATATGACTCACCTGATGCTTGACAAATCGAAGTTGAACTGCAATTCAAACACCACTCGTGAACCAAAATCCGTCTTTCAAAGGATGCGTGTTTTGATGGGCACCAGGATGTATCAAGGTTGGTCTCCTAGTCACTAATGCAAACGGGATTACATACCTGGGAATCAAACTCCAGCAGCTGCCAAGCACAATGAACATCCACACATAAGTCACATATATAAGAGTCGCAGTACAAGAACCCCAGTACCAGCAACAACTCTGCTGTTTTCTTGACTGATCTTCACAGAAAAACTGCATCCAGAACATCAAAGTGTTGCAACCCAAGGCCTCGGAACTACTTCAAAGTCGGAGAGCCAACCCACAACAGCTGTCGTAGGCATTTCTCCCGTGATTTGTCCAGAGCTTCGCGGCGCTTCGCGGCGCTTCGCGGCGCTTCGCGGCTTCGTTTCCGGGTAAGGCACTCTTTGCTGGGCTGCATCAATTTGGATGCAACTGCCTGAGCCGTCGGTCGCTTTCATCCAGAACTTGGATAGACAGGTCGTCCAAGACATGATTGTTCCCACCATTCATTCTTGAAGGGGGTGACTTGCCCATCTCTCTGACAAGCCGTCGCAATGGGTCAAACAGTTCATCTGCCACTCGACGCCTGGTCGGCCTGGGCAAGCCCATTCACTCGATCAATTCCAAGAAATTATGTGCAATCAGCAACCAACTTTCGGCCGGTCGGGAAGTGCTGGAATCTCTGTCAATTCCCTGGACCATGAGGATTTCACGAGGGAACAAAATCATATGCCTGCCACTCTCTCTATATTGTATATATATATTATGCATACCTCTGCATGCCTCTGCCGATGCCAGCGCCGAGTGCACTCCTATCCAGGCACCTCCAAAAACACGATGTCTAATTATATACCTAGACTGCCTGGCATTTCGGGCCTAATCTTCCGCCTGAATGTGACATTCTGGGGTGTTTTGGAAACAAACTCGGGCAGATGTCCAGAAGTCGTTCTCGGGCGAATGTCCCAACACGAAATGCGGCAGTCTAGGTACAAGAAGCTATTAGAAACAAGTGCCACGCTACTAGGAACAAGTGCCACGCTAGTAGTAACAGGTGCCTTACTAGTAGTAACAAGAAGCTATTGGATCTGCCCCGATCCGGTCTCCCTTCGGCCTCTGAGGATCGGTCCACCGACTTCTCGGGACGTAGCAGCTCGCCGGCCTGGAGGGACCGGCAGCGAGCCAAACAGTCAGGGAAGTGACTTTATCCAAAATCTTTCCACCACATTCTTCCACCCTTCCAAAGATGGATCTATGGGAATCTATGGGCCTTCGGCTCTGAGCTCCCTGCCTGGCGCTGCTTCTCCAGCTTTCGCAGCCGTTCCTCCTCTTGAACCTAGCTGAACCAAATTTACATGGCCATGTAAGGTGGCTACTTCAAGGGTGGCCCGATCAAATCTGTGATAGAAACCGGGCTCCCTCTCCCCAAGAAAAAAAGTAGATCAAGCCCTTCTGGTTAATTAGTTAGATGGAAGTGTCCGAACCCTTGCGAACACCTTTAGGTTGTCCTTCCAAAATCGTGAAAGGCTTCCTGACGTCGTGAGAACCCAGTTTCAGATCAAACAAGCCTACAAGGAAATAACACTATAATACACTATAATACACAATACACCCAAGAAACCGGCGTCACGACCGGGTCAGCCGACGGACGGAGCCCGGGAGTGAAAGTCACGGAGACACGAGAAGTCCTGCGACCATTGCGACCATGACACCAAGAAGTCCGGCAACTTCCGGTTCACAGGGCCATGCTCCTCCGCCTCGCCCGCATGGGCGATGTGCCAGACCCGATGGCCGGCGCGCAGCATCTCATCGGCGACCACCTGGAGTGGCTCAAGGTGGCGCGGAGGTGTGGGTGGATCCTGTGGGTACCCACCAACCCGACGAACACATTGACGCTAAATGAGTCGGAGGCCATTGATCGAAGGAGATGAATGAAAGTCCTGACACCAACCAAGAACGCTCTCCACACTACGTCGTCCCTTGTGCCTGTCGGGCGTCCAGGTGCCAGTCAGGATCAAAACCCAAGAAGCAGGTCTTTTGCCGCTTTGCATGCCAAGCCAGTTCAATCAAGGCATGCTGCGCCTGCAGATTGCATTTTGCATTGCCATGCAACGTGCACTGACAGCGCTTGCATGTGACATCTCGTCTTGTGGCGGCCAGTGTCAGACACCCAATCCAAATAGTAATCGAATAATCGTCAAGAAGCACTCATGCCATGAGCAAGATAATCCCCCTTCCACCTTTTAACAAATCACAGCACCAAAGTAAGCGGAGACCCGCCAAGATGGAGACCTGGGTGTCGAGCTTCCAAACCGAAAAGTCGCCCAGGAAAGGTTCATATAAAGCCCTTGATTAAACGCATATCAAACACTTAAACAAAAAGAACGCCTCCAGATCGAAGCGTTTCTTCCTTTTCTCTTTACCAACAAGCCTCCAAGCAAAAGTGATCTCTTCATGATTCGTCATTAGACTAACAACTATATATATATAAAGCTTTCAAAAGCGCGGCGTGTCTGGTGGACAAACAGGGTTGCTAGGAGAGGAAAAAAAACTCCCCCAAAATCGACCATGTTATACCATGTTGGTAGCTTAGTAGCGGTTTGTGGTAATGTAAACCAAAAATAAGCCGTGGGTAGGGGTCTCCGACACGAGTCTTTTTGACTTGGGCAGGTGTTTGGTTACTATTTTTAAAATTGGTACTAACTAGGGATAAATATCAAAAACTCTGTCTGACCATTATTGAAAGAGATCACTCACGGCTCAGATGATCGCTGACCCTCCGGTCCGGTGATCCGTCGCCTCATCCGTTTGGACGTGCTTCAGGATGCCATAGGCGCTCTCTCGCCCCAATGCGACCTCATAAACAAGCGACGGGACGGGATCAAAAGGGTGGCCTCTTTCACCGAAGAAAGTGGGACGTCCATGACTATGACATGTTTTCTGTTGGTTAGTGACGTCTTGCTTGTTTCATGCCACGTGATGCTTTAAAGGTTTGGAGCCTCTTTCAAACACGAAAAACATAGGCTGTGCATACCGTCTAATAGCCTATTGTCTTGCGCTTTCACATGTGCCTTGGTTTCCGGAGGATTTGAAGCCAAGCCACATGTTTGTACACAATGCCTCGCATCCGACAACTCGACTTCAACGCCCTCACCGCGAAATGCTCACAGGGCGCTCGGACATCTCCTCGACCGATTGAGGCGGAACCGGAGAACGCCGGTGACTGTCTGTTCTTTTTGGTCCCATCAATAGATGGAAGCAGTTGGGGATCTATTTGGGGATCTATTCGAACAATCCATTTAGTGATAGCAAGTGGGAAATCGGGTGGTCAATTCGTTCTGGCCGCTGGTATATTATCCAAATGTCCATGCTTTTCCCCAATACTCATCACATCACATCAATGTGGACCAGCCAACGCACTCTCTCACTGGGAGTTTCACCAATCATTGGATCTTCAAAGGTGGTCAGGTTGAGCTACCGCACCACACTGCTGGTGGTCTTCCACTCCCATCCATGTGCTCTCAGCATGTGGTCTATAGAGTGCTCAGACTTGCCTCGGTGGTCGCTGGCTCTGAAGTCGTAGAGCACCCGAATGGAGTTCAGCTGTAGGAGCTCAAAAAAGGCCTTCTCAGTGATTTGGCCTCGGCACCAGCACCAAGAAAAGTGAAGAACACCTTCTTCATCAACTGGATGTGCGAGCTGATTGAAATCCGAGAGGTGGAACCAATGGTATCGCAGAACAACATCTAGAATCGCAAGCATTGGCACATACATTCAGTCCCCTGCCATTTGGGGTGCAGCAAGCTTGTTGTTGCTGGTTGGCTCCGACTATGAGGAGCCAATCCCGTCGGAACACACTTGTGACAATTCCTTTTGATGTGTGTTCGCTTTTTCCCCTGAGGCTCAGCTGGCATTTGCAGCAGCCGGTGCTTCTTTGAATCGGTTTACCCTGTCAAGTCGTGATTAAAACGTCTTCTATCGCTGCACGTCTCGTGTCCTGCTGGCCTAACTTGGACGGTAGCGGCATGCATGTATTGTTGCTCCTGCCTCTGCCAGTCCTTCCAGTGTGTTTCAGCTGTGTGCCTCTCCACGAATTGCTCCAGTTTGGGATGTGAGCACCTTCTTCGTGCATTGTGGCAACAATGTAATGTGAGTTCCACTGAGTTTGGGTAAGCAAATCCAGAGTCCAACAATTGTAGCAATTGCAAAAGCACTGCCGTTCCCGCTCCCAGCTCAGCCAACATGGGAACTAGTTTTGCAGTACAATCATGACTGCTTACAACCCTCCAAGAACAAAAACCTTGGCCTGGCCATTTCAAGCAATAAGTCAATAATACGATAGCTGCCAATCCTGCCAACACCTGCCAACATCAGGTGTTAGGGCTCCTGCAGTGCAAAGGAAAGGATTGTCTTGGGTCTCAGGTGCGTCTCTGAATTCAAGTTCCAGCTGGCAATCAAGATCAGAGCACCCAGAGCTGCCAGGCACAATTTGAAGTGTTCAGCACATCTTTGGTCCACGCACGTGAGTTCAGTACAGCAAACAAGTGAGACATGTGCTTGTGGACGTATCATTGTTGTCTCAGATTTATGAGTTCTTCTCCAATGAAGCACAGCATGGAGCAGCTTCTGCACCCATGAATCCTCATACGGCTGCCCCACGGCCGCACGCGCCCTCCGTGGCCTCCCTGCGGCCCGTGGAGGGCATGTCTCCCTGTGATGACCGAGACCAGGAGACCTCACTGGTCGATATGAGTGTCCGGGGCCTTTCATGTCAAAGCGGTGATTGCTCATCGGTCCGTGACGCGATCCTTGCCCCTGATCTGCGAGTTTTCAGGACTTGGCGGCCCAAGACATGCACACAGATAGTTATTACATGTCATTACCCTAAGAACCCCTCATATGGCAGGGGACGGACCCTCAATAGCGTCCGGCCCTCAAGACCTGTTTGAGGGCCGCTGCCAGTGTCTGCTCTGGCTTCTCATACCTAAAACTCGGTGCGTACGGTCCATGCCCTGTATGCCTCCCTGACCGACAAAAAGGCTCGGCCGAGCAAACAAAATGGTCCAGGCCTAAGACCACAAGTCTCACACGCTTTGCTGGCTCCAGCATGTTTCAAAGAGTCTCACACTACGTAGGTACGCGAAGTAGGTTGTCCATGGGTTGTTGCTTTGATGACCTGAAGTCGCTTGGTGGTTGTTGCTTGTTGGAATGTAAATGGAATCAGGAAGTCGGAGCTGTACCAAATTTTACCTGGTAGCAGCCACTGTCCCTCAAACATCCATAGCTGTAGAGTCTTGCGGAACCTGCCAGTCGAACTCACTTACCAGCTTTTTCTGGTCGTGGCGTTGATTGGAAGGCGTCACCTGCAAATGCCCAAGGACAGTGTAGCAGTGTGGGTTTGCATTGGTCTGAGCTCTCGGGACTATTCCGTGGCTCTCGCCTGCCTGAGGAGAGCAATATACAACGCTGACATCAAGAAAGGCTACCACCCTGTATGTTTAAAGGCCATCATGTCAGTCACTCACTGAAATGAACAAACTCTTCCCACCCAGTAAGTAAGGGCCAAACCTACTGAGTACAGTACTGACTTGATGACCCCATGGAAACGATGCGAAAGCCACACTCATCAAATCTCCCCTCCAAAGCCATCCGCGCTTATCTGAAACCTCCATGGACTCATCAAGTCAGGAACCTCTACAAGCACCGCCACTTGACGCTACACTCCCGAAAACTAACATGGAACCTGAAAATGGACCTGACTAGAAAACGATGTTCCTCCACGTCTACAACCCAATGTTTTTTCTTTTTTTTTCCGGGTTCCATGTTAATCTTCCCGGTGTGCACCGCTTACCAGGGGTGACCTGGCCACCTCACCTGCAAGCACCACCATACCCGATATCCCCATTGTAACTACCCGTTCCACTGCCAAGTGACCATGGCCAATAGACCAACAGGTCACCTTGTCCATGGTCGGCAAAGACAAATTCTCGCGGGCAAAGTTGGACTCCATTAAGTCCCCTGGCCACTGGTTGTCACACCCAGCAGTATCAAGAAACTGGATGCATGGCCTACATGGTTAAACACCACCTAGAGTCCTAGAGTAGATGGACAAAACGTTCAAAACGTTCAACCCCATGAGCTATTTATGCTACGACCCCCTTGCCCTACCGCAAACTTATATGTTGAATGCAGTTTTCTGTCATTTAGGGTTCAGGGTTTGATGCACTTCACACATCCTGGAAGGCTCGCTAACATTGAATTTTGGGATGGAAGGGTTCAAGGTGGTTGAAGGGTTTGAATAGTTCATCCATCTGCGGTAGTTAGGAGGATATGGACAGGACTGGACTTGTCTTCGATGAAGGAGGCAAAGTGCCTACTATGCTATTTGCCATTAACTCATGTTGACTCACACATCTGGATGTAGAACTTGTTCCCTGACGGATGGCCCTTCCACACAAACGAAACACAAAAAACCTCACAAGCCGCGCTGCTGTACCAAACAACCAAGTATGGGCCCTTTTTTACACAGGAAGCTTGAACCCAAACCCTCCAAATTCAACAAATACTGGTGCCGAGCTTGAGCGCCATACCCCACTAATTTAGGCTAGGCTAGGACATCTGGGCCCCGGGCCCCTTGACCGCAGCATCTACAAATAGGATGACTATAGGATGACCCATGTTATTGGACCTTGGTCCTGCCTTTGCCATGCCAGCGCTCAGCATCAGCACGGTTCATCTGCTGCTCATACTCCTCGAACTGCTGCTGCAGCAGCGCAGCTGTTTCCGCTTCAGTAGATCTGGCCATCGAAGGATGGTAGGGCCCATCTTCCAGCCCCAGGGCTATCAGTCCGTGGCCTCTTGAGGTATGTAACCCAGGTTCTTCAACGTTCGCCACCATTGGCGGCTTACCCGTGGCACCGTCTCAGAAGCTTCTGGGGAACGGGGGAACGACTGTCTCCCGCGGGGGCTGGCTCTTGTGGACTCCCGATCCGGACTAGCTCGCGGGCTCCCGGCATGAGGTGTGGGCAAGTTTTTCCGAGAAAAAAAAAGCAGTGCCTTAGATTGCCTTAGCTTCTTGCCACTACTAGCTTCTTGTTCCTAGTAGTAAGGCCAGGAGCTACCTTCGTAGCTTCTTGCTACTACTGTAGTAGCTATGCTTCCGTCTTAGACTTTCATCATCCACATAACTTATTCCAAGTCTCTCTTCTTCCAGCTGCGCTGCCAGGACCGCATCGTCCACGGCAGCACCTGAGACGTAGCCGGGTTTATACAATCCTCCCACTGAGAAGTTGATTCTGTGGCTTTCAATCATCTGAACCCAAATCATCACCAGGTTCGGGGATCTGCTCGGAGGGTTGAACAGCCCAATTCCAACGGTTAAACCTCACCAGCCGGTACTGCACCAAAACATGCACTCCAAATATATAGCTTTATAGGTGGCAAAATCCGAAAGAAGTTACAGTTTCAACATGTGAGCTGCCGTCAAAATTGGTTAAAACTGGTGCAAAAGTGGAAGTCAACTGCCTCCAACCTAATAGCGATGGCCTCCAACATGGTTTTGAGGAATCAACATGCTTTGGGTTCAGCATAACTCTTGCTGGAGTCCATTATGGATGAATGATATCTTCTTAATTTCAGGTGCTGCCAGAAGCGTCTGCTTCAGAGGTGGAAGAAGGTGTTGTTTTGTCTATAGACTATATATAGACTATAGATCTAAAAGCCCGTGTTTATATTGCATATATGTCATAAAGAAAAATATCCATATCTAGGTTCACGGGTCTATCCCTTGACCAGGGCTCTTCGCGTAACACATGATTGTCACCAAGTGATCGCTGGACAGAACGCCTCCCACAATTGGAAGCCGGACTGGTTATTGGTTTATAGGAAACAATGACGGGTTATTGATTTTGCAGGGCGTCGCTTTACGTTGGTCCAGAGCACTGCAGCCTCCCTACATCTCCCTACTACCAGTAAAGTGATCTAGGCTTATTTAGATTGTGACTCATGTGAACAAACATCTGCCATGTCTTGGTGGTCAGGTTGGCTACTTTTGTATCGTCACAGGAGTCTCGTGCTCGCAGCAGTGCGGAATAAGTCCAAGTCCAAGCAAATCCACATCATTGACATTGCAGGATGTCTGCAATCTCCATCATGAGCCAGTACACAATCTGTTGAAACTCAGTTTCTTTCCGGTTGTCACATACTCCGTCTCTAATATATAGTTGTTCATACTTTACTCAACATATCAACCAAGCTTTGGCCTACGGCGGTCCACAACTCACCTTGCAGGGCCGCGGCACAGCAACCCCAGTGCCCGTCATCCTCGAATTGGAGGCGCAGGGCCAATTCTTCATCCTGGCGTTGCAAAAGGCCGGAGCCATGGCATGCCATGGCACCTTGCTTCCTCCCTGGAGCATCCTCCCACTCGCGACCGAATCACCAGTGTTCAATCAAACCCATCACCAACACACTAGAGAACCATTTTCTCTAAGGCTTTTCCTGCCAAAAGCCTGAGTTCATCATTTCCCCAACTGCGACTCGCCCCCACCTGCAATGCCACCGCTGCCTTCTTCCCCCAGCGGTTCCGCGTTCCGCGTTCCGCCGTGGCAGCCGCCGTGGTTCCGCTGCCGGAGGTGCTGCTGGCGCTGAGGCCGAGATCGTCAGCGGCGCCGGCGAGGAGGAGCAGTTCGGCAGCGGCTTCGGGATCAAAGTTGGAGGCTTGCAGCGCATCTTTGGCACTGAAAGGATCCTTGGTGCTGGGTGGAAAGATGTTGGGCTGAGGTGGATGAAAGGGCCCAACACTTGGTGAGGCAGGGATGTGTGAGCGTGTACCTCCCTCAAACTCTCTCAAGTCCAACGACTGCGCCTGTTTTGGGATGCTTTGGGCTGAGGCAAAACCTGTTCACACCAACTGACAATGGATGGTGAGTAAGACCTTTGCAAAATCAAAACAGTTGGTGATGTCAAACATCGTCATGTTTAATGTAAATAGTTGAACACCTTACGTGAGAGCGAGCTAGACCCTGGGCTCAGCACTAATGGCACCTTCACGAGTTCACCAAAAATGGATTATGATAAACCTCCAAGGACTCCCAAAACTAGAAAATCTGACGACATCTGACAGCTTGGGTAGCTCCTGGGTGGCTCATAGTGGCTTCCTCTTACACCCAGCAGAGCTTTCTAAGCGTTGCAACAGCCGCATCTAAGGGTAACGCCCAGCATCAAAGCCGAGTTGGAGCAGCTGCTGCAAGGCCTCTAGCTGGGAGCTCCAAAGACCTCCCTCGGCCTCAAGGCCTCGGAGAAACCATGTGAAAGGTGGTGCCCGAGCAAAAATGGGGACACCTACACTACAAGGATGAAGGAATTCTGGTTGATTTGGGCATCACCCAGGGCGGGTCTTAAGTTGAAGCCTTGGTTCAGGTAGTAGGCCATGATGCCAATGTATCTGAAATATCATTTCAGTGTTCGGAGCCCAAATCATTTCATAAATCGGTTTTGAATCAATAAATCAACAATTCAACATTTGGCTGCTGCTGCTGCACATGCAATGATCATTTTAACAAGGCAACTGCTCCAAAATTCAAGGGCCTGTGAACACCTACTGAGAACTGGGTGTAGGTTTGCAAATCGCCACGCATGGCCCACTAGAATCACAACAAACTGGAAGAAACAACGCAACTGGAAGAACACTTACAACTTACAACTTTGGAGGGCTTCCCTGGAACGTTCACCGATAACCCTTTGGACCCAGCACGGTCGCGACATCTCTCCAGTCCCGGTCGCCCAGCTGATGGCTGGATTGCAGCTTTGCCAGCTCGTTGGAGCGTCGCACATCGTCCGGATCAGTTAGGGTCTGCCACTGCTTCTGCATCCTCAGCATGCAAAGGACTCGGTGTGACCACGGGGAAAAACCACGAGAAACCCTGAGAAACCGTCTCACGAGAAATTTGCCTTGTTTCAATCGCTTACCCTGCTTGGCAAATCCAAGCATCTGCATGTTCGTGGGGTAGAAAAAGATCGGCACTGTGATCCGACCTGCCGAGATCATCCCACACCAGGACTGGGAACAATCGAAAATGGTGGCGGGTGTTTACCCGAAGTATAGATAGCTGCCCTGATGTGATCAGCTGGGCATTTCCTACCGGCCTACCTAGCCATACCGTTCGACAGCCCATTCCGGTGCCTCCTTTAACCTCGGGCATCTTCGGAACACCATGGCGTTGAGTGCCAAAAATCACCAGGTCGCTATCCTCAGCTGGTCCGTTTGACGTGCAAAATGGTGGTAAGAACTCATGCATATAGTTATAATGAAATACTATTCCCTATGGATCCACATAACTTCTGAGAAGGTGATTGGAGACTATTCATATATGTTATAGGCTTGGAGGGCCCAAGTACCTTCTGAGAAGGTATGTGTTGCATACTGCTAGGTTGGGGAACCCGGCAACTTCGACCAGGCAATGGAATTATGGAATGTGACATGACATGGTTGCGTGAACAATAGGAGGTTGGCCTTCCGAGGGTCCAGAGCTTGCATTGCCTCTCAAATCTCTGAAACAAAAATTGACACGGGTAATCCTTCATCCTGGCTTTGGAAAGTTGAGCGTCTTGCAACAAGAGAGGCGTCTTGTCGATGGTCAGGATACCTCAAAAAATGCAGCTCGCAGCTTCCAAACACCAAGCATGGAAAGAACTCCAGGGAGCTGGCTATAGGTTTTAAGTTTTAGATGGCTTTAGAGTGGAGCTGGACAGAGGGAGACAACAAAAAAATACAAATACTTTACTTCGAGTGATCCACCATTACATTTTCAATCATGTTCGTGTGGAGTTCGCGTCGAGGTGCCGCCAGGCTCTCCAGTTGGCATCCACAAGTGCCACCCTGTGACCACCTGCCACGCAAAATGCCACACACGGTAACTATTATACTATATATATATATATATTTTTTTTTGTTGTGGTTGTGTGTTTGTACTTGTCTTTGTGATTGTGTGTTTGTGGTTGTGTTTGTGATTGGGTGTTTGTGGTTGTGTTTGTGATTGCACGCTTGTATAGTGTTTGTGATTATGTGCTTGTGGTTGTGTTTGTGACTGTCTGTGTGTGATTGTGTGTTTGTGGTTGTGTTTGTGCTGTGTGTCTGTGATTTCGCGTTTGTGGTTGTAATTGTGGTTGTGCTTGTGGTTGTGTGTTTGTATTGATTAATGTGTCTGTGATTGCGCGTTTGTGGTTGTAACTGTGGTTGTGCTTGTGGTTGTGTGTTTGTATTGACTGTGTGTATGTGTTTGCACGTTTGTGGTTGTAGTTGTGGTTGTGTGTTTGTGGCCGTGTGTTTGTGATTGTGTCTCTGGTGGTGTGTTTGTGGTTGTGTTTGCGATTGTGACTGTGCGACTGTGCGCGCGTGGTCGTGATTGTGGTTGTGTGTGTGTCAACCCCTGGACCAAGGGTTCACCTTCACCACCACCTTCACTACAGTTCCACACGCAGGGGCACACGGCATCCATGACCTACCGTGTGCAACGAAGCTGCGGTCATGGATGGGAAGGGAAGGCTGATCACCTTCCTGTACCTGCTTTCAATGCACTGACTCCAATGGTCCGCCCTGCCGCTGTTCTTTGTTTTCATGGTCCTTCTTCATGCTACTGCCCCTCAAACCGTTTTCTTTCAGCCACTTTCAGCAGCCGCGCGTTTTGCCGCCTGTCACCGCAGTTGTGAGCAAACCATTTGTTGAAACACCTTCAATTGATCGGACTCATCACCTTGCCGTTGAGCCATTCCTTCCTCGGGGAACTGAGCTAACTGAATACAATTGTCAGAGTGTGTTTCGCTCAGCCGTCCCACTCGGGTGCTGAGTGTGATCCCCGTCACTGGGGCGCTGTCTCTTTGGGAACTCTTTAACTGAACTCACCACCGCTCACCGGAATTTCACTGGAATTCGCCACCACTTCCACCGAATTAACTGCCACAATGGCCGCCGGGCCTAAACACGGGACTTGCCATTTCGCAGAGATCACATTTTTCCGCATGATCTTGCATGTTTACTCAAGCGAGTTTTCAGCAGTTTAATTCGATTTGCATGAGCGCTGAAGCTGCTGCCACCGAGCTCGTGAAGCTCTACGTCCAAAAAGGACACAACCAAATTGCTTGCAGCCGGTTTTTGAAAGAAAAAAGCGCCGGTTTCGGCGATCTGTGTGCGTCAACCCCTGGACCAAGGGTTCACCTTCACCACCACCTTCACTACAGTTCCACACGCAGGGGCACACGGCATCCATGACCTACCGTGTGCAACGAAGCTGCGGTAAAGGATGGGAAGGGAAGGCTGATCACCTTCCTGTACCTGCTTTCAACGCACTGACTCCAATGGTCCGCCCTGCCGCTGTTCTTTGTTTTCATGGTCCTTCTTCATGCTACTGCCCCTCAAACCGTTTTCTTTCAGCCACTTTCAGCAGCCGCGCGTTTTGCCGCCTGTCACCGCAGTTGTGAGCAAACCATTTGTTGAAACACCTTCAATTGATCGGACTCATCACCTTGCCGTTGAGCCATTCCTTTCCCCGGGGAACTGAGCTAACTGAATACAAGTGTCAGAGTGTTTGTGATTGTGTGTGGTTGTGTATCGTGGTCGTTCTTTGTAGGTTGTATTTTGTGTTGTGTGTTTGTGGCTGCGTCGTGTGGTTGTGTGTTGTGCGTCGAGGTTTGGTAGTGCCCACTGCGATCTGACGCTTGCGGTTGAGGTCCGGCGGGGAACGCTGCCAGCCGGAGCTCGCAGTTGAGGTCCGGCGGGGAACACTGCCATCCGGAGCTGGCGGTTGCTGCACTTGCGGTTGAGGTCCGGCGAGGAACACTGCCATCCGGAGCTTGCGGTTGAGGACAAGCCCGAGGCGGACGTGGAGGAGGAGGAGGAGGAGGAAGGCAGCCGAGATAAAATCTAACAACCCTCACCTGACAGGTGGGAAAAAGGCATTCAGAAACAAAAAACATTGAGACAGGACCTTGGGGCTTATTAGCCCTAAGCCTAAAACACTAAAGTTGTCACAACGCAGGTCTTGCCAAAACATACTCAACTCTCAGGATGTGATCTCGGCTCGATATGGCCCACTTCATTCAGTTGGCATTCATTGGGCCTTCTTTGAGTACAGGGGCCGGCCATACTTCAGGGAAGGATGGGAAAGGAAAAACCTAGAGCTGGGCTCCAAACTGCTTTCAAGAAGTGACGTGGATTGCCTCCCTAGCAGAAAATCAAGGCCAAAGAGCACACGACACCAAAGCCCAGCAAAGCGAGCCCTACGACCACCGGTACGTGCATTCGTGCATTCAACTGCTGCCCAGGATGCGCTCATGTCCAAAGGAGAAGAGCGCCGTCCAGCAATCGTGACCTGGTTGGGTGCCCTACAAGGCGGGTGTAGAATTGCAGGGAAAGTGAGCGATTGTGGCTTTGGTTGAGGGGATTTCTGGTGCTTTGGTTGTAGCAACTGCATTTCTGGGATCTTGGATACGCTTCAAGAGGAAAGTTGGTTCCACTTTTACTAAATATCGTATCACTCATGCTTGAAATGATATGTCTCCGGGGAGCCCCAGTGGCTTGATCGAGGGGTCACGCCCAATTTCTGTGTGCTTGCTCCGTGGGGGAGGGCCTCGGCTCGCGATAGGGCAGGCATGCCGATGACCCCAGTCCCCCAGTCTGCGAGAGCACGACCTGATGGTGCACCTGCGACATATTTGTGCTGATTGCCAACAAAAGGTTTGCAGCTTGATTGCTAGCTGCTACTTGCGGTTTAAACTACAAGAACGGCAGGTTGCGACCGTGCAAGGGTTCAGGCCATTCTTCCTGTTGATTATGTTGAGTTTTGCAAACGCAAACGGCCTCTGGTCTGGTGGATGGTTGCCTGTTTTGCAGGCTTCAATCAAATATGCCTTGAGCTGATGCCACCAACGTAGAATTAGGTGCATGTAGGCTACCGACTCAACTATACCGACCGCTGATCCAGGCGCAAGAGCTCTGAGGATGCTGGTCATGGGTCCTCACCGGCACTACTAGGGGTCTAGCTCTGCCACAGCCTAGGCGCGGTGGGATCCCAGCACGGAGTCTCCATCCGGGTACCAGTTCAAGGCGATGCCCGCAGTGCGGTCAGCTAGGCCATACTCGGAGAAGAACTTTTGGAGTAACCTGCTTTCTGCTCAGGCGGAAGCTAAGCCGAAAGCCGAAGGGGGAATGCGTGGAAAGCAGGTTCCGGTGGCTATGAGGGTTGAGGGTTTGGTGTGATTAGCTGTCTTCTTTCCAATAATCATTTCTGCTGGCAATCGAGGCATTCAGCTACGGGTCCCACATCAACCTGAGTCATAGAAGTGACTATCAAGTATCACCGAATCACCAGCATTGTCATGTTGATCATGTTGGAATAGTAGATGGATCATAATAGACGTAGGAAATCGTAGGAATGTAGGATCTGCACAGTATTATGCTTTGGAGCCGAGCCGAGCTGGGTTGATGCGGGCTTTGAGTACATGGTTGGGCTGTGATTGGTTTCGATGTGAGTTATGTTGTTACTTAAAACCCTGGTTTTGTTATAACTAGTTAACTTAGTTAACATGAGTTAGCTAAAAAGTTATAACTAGTTAACATAATCGCTAACTAGTTATAACTCTAAAAAAGCAAGCCTTCAAATTAAAAAAACATGGTGCAGGTGGTGATGTGGAAAAGTGGTAAATGTGGACTGTGTGAAGCTAAACTATGCAATTTTCAAAGTATAATGATAGCCATATAGGCTCACCAGCTATATTGGATCTATGATAGCCACCCAAGGCTCCCATGATTTCAAGACCAAGGTCTGTTTTTTTCACCTCTGGCTGTAGATTTGGTAAGGTAAGAGTACTGTGGCTTCATCTTTGTCCTTGCAGAAAACCACTGGATATAAAATGGACTGAAGAAGAATCAGTCCTTGCAAGTCTGATGGCCTGAACTTGGCATGTTGCTTCTCTAAGTGGCATTTCTGGAGGCGCCAGGGCTGGACAAAGGTACAATGCATGCCATGAAGAACCACATGGAACAGCACCTGGGCGACTTTCCAACCACCACCATCTGCATAGACAATGGCATCTTGAGCATGGCAATAGCCTCCCCTTTCAAGCCTGGCCACTGAAGATACTTTGGCCTCAGGGCAGGGTGGGGAAATGAATTGGCTCAATGCTGCTATTTGCTTGCTATTGGCTTGCTTGGGTTGGATGATTTCGGTTCCTTCTGGAAATTGGTCTGGCTCCCTGAGCATGGTGATCTCAGTGGCCAAAACTTGCTCCATCATATGGCTCCATCATATGTCATTGTCCTTTTTAATTTTGTGGCCAGTGCGCTGATGGCCTTATGCTTCCTCTCACAGGCAAAGCAATTGGCAGTTGGCCATATCTTTGCAGAGAATCTGGCAAGTGGAGCATCCAATGCCACTTTCTGATCATGCCAACAGATGGAAATGCTTTGTGGAAAGTGGCCAAAGATTCTTCTATGATGTGGAGAAGAGAAGCTCTGGATGTGGCCCCCCAGCAAACCCCTGCATGGATCTGGTCGATAGTTTCAGCCATTGGCACAAAAGCTTGGCAAGCATCCTGGCAAATCTCTTTGGGCACAACTATGGAATGCAAGAAATGTCTGATGGCTGGGAAGACAGACAAGCATTCACTGGCCATGCAGGAAAACTTGTGGTTCTTGTTGTACTTGGCAACTCTTGTCGCTTGGAACGAACTGGGTAGATGTTGGCATCTCCAAGCCTTTGGAAATTGGAAGAAATTGAGGTATTGCTCCAAGCATGGCCATACTTGTAAGCCACAGGCCTGCATGGCATTCATGGTCTGCCACAAGACAATGGGTGCTGTACCCTGTAGAATCCCATGCATATAATCATGCACAAACTGAGATACTGGTTTGCAGAGGTTCTTTTGGATCAGCCTGGTGTTCAGGAGGATGGAATGCTTGGGCCAGCTGAGGCCACTGGCCTTTTCCCAATCCTGGAACTCCTGTTTGCTGCAGGTTTTTTGTCTGGCATCCAACCTCTGGTAGCTGGCTAGTACATCAGCATCTTGCACAAGAACCAGGTCCTTATACTGCATGGCACTGGAGTACATTTCATCTGGTTCTTCCTCCTCTTTGGAAGCTGGCATGCCTCGAATGTTGGCACATAATAGGCAGAACTTCTGGCCTGCATCTCCTACGGAGGTCCAGACCATTTTGTGTGCAGCCCCATCACATAGCATCATGGACCAGGTGAAATGGATTCTCAAATCTCCAGATGGGCTTTTCAATTGGAATCCACAACTTGTATCAGCCAGAGGAGAATCAAAGATGGATTGGAGGATGATGTTCATCATCTGGGAGATTCCCCCATCGAGTGTGGATACAAATGTGGATCTTTGTGTGCATAAGGTCAACCATGCTGCCTTACTGGACATGTCTGTCTGGAAGGCATCAAATGTGGCATACTTGGTCCAACACTTGCGAGCAGCCCTGCCAAGCACATTGCCTGGTACTATCTCATCTGTGTAAAGTACCAGGCCCCATGGTGCAGATGGGGAGCTAGGTCTTTGGGCATGTCTTCTCTGGATCAGCTTTGTAAAAGATGAATCCATATGGTATAAGTTGGCCAGATACACCAAGAAATTGGCATAATACATGGTGCAGGAGTTGCCATCCTTGGTTTCCAACTTGGCTTCCTGAATCAATGGTCCAAGCAGTCCTCCATGACAATCTTGAAGGAGATCTAGCCGGGCTTCCCTTTGATGGGTACTTGAATATAATTCTGGAAGCCCTTCTGATTTGGCCTTCTCAACTATGGCTTCCAGCACTGATTGGCTATGGAATGGCAAGTTGCTTTGAAAGGACAGCAGCTTGGCCAGCTTTGCCTTTTTGGCAGGTCTGTGGCTAGCCATGGCTATTTAGATGGCATGAGATAGAAACACATTGCAGCTGTTAAGTACATTGGGTGGCATCCAAGGAACATGGCACTCTGAGCTTCTTATCCTGTGCACCTTGATGACAAAGCTCAAGGACATAAGCAATGGCTGCTGGCAAGCATGGCACAATTTCAAACACACAGCCATGGGCTCCATAGCCATGGGGCTCTATATGTTTGGTTGAACTCTACTTAAATATATGTTTATATATAGCCATGGGGCTCTGTATATATAAAAATTGGTCGCCTCTTTCTTTTCAGAGCCATCCAGCTTGGCATCCTATAGACATGGGTTGACCTTGCCCCCCTGAAGCCACAGTGTGCTGGACACTGTCAGCTCTTACCCATGGCAGTGGCACTCCCATGGACCTGCTTTAGTTCAGGTCTTCAGGATGCTTTTTTCTGGGCCAAGTATTCTCGCCATGGACCCCTCCCTGGTAGTCTCACACCAGCAAAGCCTGGTTGCCAACAAGTCTGGCACCCATTGACATTCCCTCTGCAGCGAATGCAGCCATATGGCCCTGGGGCAGCAGGTTTGGGACATCCTTTGGTCTTTGGTGTTGTTTTCACCACTTCCTTTGGCTTGGCTGCTCCCTTGGTCTTGGCAGCTGCATGAGGTGCTGCCTTTGGCTTGGGAGCTTGCCTCTTGGGAGGCTTGCAAGCACTTGGTCTTTTCATTCCACCTTTTCTTTTGGTTTGCATTGTGTGAAATGCTTCTTCTTCAAATTCTTCCAAGGACTTGGCCACTGCAGCTGGTTTCTTCTCTGCTTCTGGATCTTTTGCATCTTCATTCACTGGGCTATCAGCCATGGGAAGGGCTGCAGGGACTGCAGCTGCCAAGTTTGCAGCTTCTTTATTTTGTGAAGCCACAACCAATGCTTGGGAAGAGGACTTGGCATTTGTGGAGACACCAGCAGTGGCTTGCAATCTGCTCCCTTCATTGAGGAATGTGATTGCAGGTTCTCTTTGTGGCAAATACTTGGCCAATAGCTGCTCCAGCATGCCTGCAGTGGCATGGCCCATGCCACATTGGTTCATCTTTGCATGGCTGTTCTTTGGCATTGGCTGAACATCTGCACTCTGCAGCAAAGCACTGGTGCATCTCATTGGAACCTGTCCAGCAGGGATGAGCTGGTAGTATGATTAGCTTGAGAATTTTTAAAGCATGATACAGCATTCAAACAAGTTTTCCCAACCAATGACTTAAAGAATTTCTTTCAGGACAACAGTGCACCTGCTTCATGAAGATTGCCAGGGTCTCCTCTTTGCCTTCTGGTCTCTCTTGGCCATAGGCTTGTTGAAGCCATTCATCTCCCAACAAGTGGGGGTTGATGGGGTAGGTGCGACAAGCAGGAGTGGAACTCCTTGGCATGGCCTTGTGGATGGCTGTGAAGTCAGCTAGCATGGCATGTGCCATCTGTGGAGACATGGGGGGTTTTGCTAGCCTGTGCTGACTGAAAAGCACCAATGCCACAGCCTGTTGCTTGGTGGACTCTTTCAGACTGCACATCCCCATGGCCACAAGGCGCCTGGACAAGAGGTGCAAATGGTCATGCAGGGGCTTGTCAGCCAAAAGCATGGTCCAATCCCCTTGGGTCAAATGTGGGCACAAAGGCTCTACAGTCTGGCCACAGTTTTGCAATTTCATGTGGCTTCCTGGGTTGCAAGACAAATTCTCTATGGTCTTCACAATCTCAAGCTTGAGAGCATCTTGGCAGGTCAGCTTCTCAGCTGCTTCCAAAAGCTTGACTATGGCCTCACTGGTCCATGTGGTCACTGCAGCAAGTTTGGCACAAAAGGTTTGGCACATGGCTGCCACACAAGGGCTGTCTGGTCTTATGGAGGAGAGCTTCTGCAAATGGTCCATCTCATTGGTAAAGTCCTCCAAAGTCCAGAACTGGGTCATAGCTCTACCAGAAGTGGAAGAAAAACTTGAACCCAGCTTGGGAGTTTATGTAGTTGGCAGAAATATACTTGGCCCAAGCATTGCATGGATGTAATATATACATATGCAATTCTATGTATTAGTTGAAACAGCCAAGAGGCTCAACAGAGATTAAACATTAGCTATGGAAACTACTAGTCATGCAGCTCTGGATTTGGATGATAAAACAAATGTTGGTTAAAAAAACAATGATCTTCTCAAACAATGTATACAGCCACATGGCTCTGCTGATGAACTGAAAGTAAATGGAACATGGGGTGCCAAGAGGACTGGTGCCATGGCTGA